GGTATTAAATAGTGAAAACAAGACTTGTTTGGTAAAAACCAAGTCTCCAAGGTCGTATAATACGTACGTACGGTTTATACCGTTTTTCACGTATTAGACCGATTGACCAAGATACAAAAGTGGTTTTTATAAAATAATTATTTGGAAACATTTTAAAAATGCTCAGAGGTAAAAACAGGGTTTAAAATATTGAAAACCACGGAGTTGGTTCGGGCGCCAAAAACCGAACGCCGAAAGCCGAACGCTGAAAGCCGAACGTCGACTTAGGTGGTTTTGGTTCTGAGCAAGGACCAGGGATTTTAACAATAAAAAATCATCAAAAATGTTTGTTTTGATGCACAAAAAATATTTTATGGATTGTAAAAATTGTTTTGACTTTTTGAGAACCGAGACTTGAATATATTGTCGGTTTTGATCACAAAAGACCGACTCGACTAAGTCTTCAATTCTTGATCTTGTCCTTGAGTCTTTTAGGTCTTGTTCCAAGCCATTCTTCACGCCTTGAGTTAAATATTTTGTGATTTGTAAAAATTGTTTTGACTTTTTGAGAACCGAGACTTGAATTTATTGTCGGTTTTGATCACAAAAGACCGACTCGACTAAGTCTTCAATTCTTGATCTTGTCCTTGAGTCTTTTAGGTCTTGTTCCAAGCCATTCTTCACGCCTTGAGTTATTCAACGAAACTCTTTATATCCACGGCGGTTTGACAATTATCAAAACCTGTCAGAAATGAACACGACTTTAGTTTATCGTACAAAGTGTGTTCCAACATAAGATGCCATGTACTTGTGTGCATTGGCTATAAATTTCCTAGGGAGAAGATTCCAATTTCTGCACACTTTGCGGATAAAGTAGTGAAGAGGAAGCCTGAATCCGTGAAGAACCGAATCGTAGTGCAACACCAAAAAACGTTCCGGCACCGTATTGTGGGTAAACAAAATCCCACCAAGAGATCGTGCATGAGAGGGAGTTCAGAGCTCTTGATCTTGGAAGGAGCGAGTTCGAGGTGAGCAATTTCTGCAGATTGAGCCATGATGTGGGAGACCTTCGTGAGAAATTGAAGAATTTGCAAAGAATTTGGGGACGAATCAAGAATAGTACGGACGCCTAAAATACATAGCAAGTTGGAGCGAGAAAAAAATGACACGACTTAGAGCAAAGGGTGGAAAACGCAATCGTTTCCTAACGAGTGCTTAGACCAAGGGTGGCACAACTGTAGTTCCTTAGCGACGTGTTGCTAGGAAACTAGGGGGCTTGTGATGGATATCCGGGCCCAGAGAAGGCGAATGAACGGCCCAATCCACAGGAGCGACTTGGGCCGATACGATAAAAGGCCCAGATTCTCGTCAATTGGCTCGAACGTAAAGCGAAGGTTCTGAACAGCCCAATGACGTGGAGACATCAAGGGGAATATGGTGAATCACCATGATCGGTGTGTAAGAGATAATGACGAGATTTATGTGCACGATGAGTGCCCATTATGTATGTGATTGTAAGTAATATAAATAGAGGGAGAACCCTCCATTTTAAGGCAAGTGAACAACACTAAAACACATTTAGTGATAGAAATATTGTGAGATTTATCAATTATTGCGTTATAATTCGTTCTTCACCGCCATAGTTGTTGGGCTAATTCTCATCAATTCGTTTTCTATGAAAGATAAATGGTGTGTTTATTATTTGTATATTCCTTATATTTATAAACTTGGTACTATTTGTGATCTTCGCTTTAAGATTGATAATTCTAAAATTCTGATGGAGTATTACTATAGTTGTTTTTATATGAAAATAGTTGACCATTTAATAGAATGGACAAAAGAGAGAGATAATGCTATTGATCTTTTTGAGTCATTATTTTAAGAGTTTCAAGCTTTTTACGGTAATGCACTAGAAGAAACAACACCACCTCCACCTCCCAAGGCAAAAAAAGGTGTTAAAGCGATTGCCAGTGGCCTCTTGAAAAAAAGATAAGCATAGTTTTGCCTCACTGAGTTCAGGTGGTACAAGTATAAGTTCGCACAACGAACTTGCTATGTACCAAGGGGTGTCATGCAATTACGACGAAGACAATGACAGGGCATTCAATGTCCTTAAATGGTGGAAGCGGAATGAACACATGTTCCCGTCTCCCGGAATGCTAGCCACATAAGTCTTATCCATGTCATTTTCAATCGTAGCTGTGGAACAAGAATTTAGTTTAAGCGACAACATTCTAACCGATTACCGAAGTTGTCTTAGCGCTGAATCGCTTGAGACACTTGTTTGCGACTGAGATTGACTTTTGGCAAGACGTCGAGCTCAATAGTCAGAGTACGATATTTATACCCAAAATTTCATGGATGTAACCAAAGAGGGAAACGGTAGTTCCGAGGAATGACTTTGTATTTTTTTTAAAAATTGTAATTATTTTTTTTAGGTGAGCAATATATAAGCTTCTTCGAGGGTTTTTTATGAATCTTTACCTCGCCGCCTTTTTTGAACCGTCAAGATATTAAATCTAGTTGTTTTTTGTACTATTCATTTTTCATTATTTAGATAACAACTATATTAATAGATATTCAAATTCATAAAAAGTTTTAAATTTATTTTGCTTTTGCACTTACACATTTATAAATTATCACAAAAAATATTAAAAAGATTGAAGACGGAAAAAACTAACCCGGTACGGTGCTGGAATCGCCAATGAGAGAACCGTCACCGGCACCGTCTACACCGGTGCCGATAATGGTTTCATGGGATGACAGTTCCGAAACTGACAGTTCTAGAACTGGAACCGAACCAGAACCATAGCGTGTCCACCCTTAACCAATGCAAGTTATTAGAATCGGACTGGACCGGCCGGTTCAACCGGTTGGACCGTAAACCGGTGAGCATTCCTTTCTGGTTCAATTGTAAAACCCGGATTTGCATCGACCTGCCCAAACCCGGTAGACCCGGACGACTCGCGGGTTTGGTCTAATTTTTTTTATTTTTTTGTCTATAAAATAAAATAATGGATATAGGATTCGAATATTAAACCTCACCATACAAGTATCTAAGATTCTAACCACTTAAGCTACTAAACACTTATTACCAAAGTCATACAGAATAGTATATATAGTGTTTTTTAATCCCTCCGTCCGGAAATGTTCTTCCCGTGTTGACTTGGCACGCTTATTAATGAGTAGTAAAAAAAATGCAAAATTTTCAAAAATGCACATACTATAAACTTTTAAATCTCCTTTTATTATTAAAAAAGTACTAAACAAGTAGATTTGTGATAAAATAGAAGGGTATTATTGATATTTAGCCTTAAAAAGTATACTAAAAAAGGAAATGGGAAAAATATTTCCGGACGGACCAAAAAGGAAAATGGGAAGAATATTTCCGGACGGAAGGAGTATTTGTGTTGAGTGAATTAAAAACTTCTAACTATTTGTAAGAAAAAACATGTTTTTGTTGTGTAATTATTTTATAATCTTTTAAAATATTTCAAAGTAAAAAATAAATATTATTTTTTGTATAAAATAATAATGAAGAATTTATATCTAAACTTCCAGTTCCTTCCAGTTTCTTCTAGTTTTTTCCAGTTCCTTCCAGTTCCTTCTAGTGTCTTCGAGTTCCTTCCATTTCTTCCAACTTTTCTCATTTTCTTCAAATTCTTTCTACTGTTCAACCAATTACTCTAAAATGATATATTTTAATGTGATTATTATTATTATTATTATTACAACTGTTATATTCATAACTATAGTTTATAAATTATTTTTTTTCTTCTCACTATTTTTGCGATTCACACTTATTATTTTTTTAGCTTTTTAATATGAATAAGACATTTTTTTGTATATTAGTCTACATGATAAAACAGGAAAACATCAATATGTTAAATTATACTAAAAAATTATGGATAAAATAGTTACATTGAATGTTTTATTAATATAACTTTTTATAAGACATCTCAGTTTTTCCTTTATTACTTAAAAATTGCTCATTTTTCTAATTTATATAAAAAAATTGTAAGTTAAAAGAGCTTAGAGAAAAAGACTAAAATATGAGTAAAACATAAAAAATGTAAACAAAAAAGTTCTATGTCTTTATTCCAAAAATAGGAATTCAATGAAAATAAAATGTCAATCATGAAAGAAAAAATAGGTTTGATTATGTGACATAAATGATATTTAAAACAAAATGTTTTAATATATAAATTATAATTACAAATATATTATTTATAATAAATACTGCATAAATAAATTGAGGTGTAATATAACTACAAAGACTTCTTAAAATTTAATATTTTTATATTTATGCTAACTTTATATTATAATTAGTTTTTGCAAAAGTAGTTTTTTGTATTTAAAAAATAACGGTACATTTTTTTATATCTTAAAGACATTGACTAAGATAACGTGATGATGATGATGATAATAATAATAATAATAGTAGTAATAGTAATAATAATAATAATAATAATAATAATAATAATAATAATAATAATAATTTATAACAACAAGAATTTAAAATAAATATTTTTAAAGTTTTTTTAGGTTTTTCAATTTTTTTGAAGTTTTTCTAGTTTCTTCCAGTTTTTTCCAGTTTTTTCCAGTTTCTTCCAGTTTCTTCGAGTTCTTCCAGTTCCTTCTAGTTTCTTCCAGTTTTTTCCAGTTTCTTCCCGTTCCTTCCAGTTTTTTCCAACATCCAGCTCTTTTTTTACAGTTCTAAAGAACAGGCCCTTATAATAAAATATGGAAAGTGTAAAAGAGTACATGAACAATGACATTGAAAATAACATAGAGAAGAAAAAACACAATTTTAAATATTTTAAAATGGAAAGATTAAGGTTAGACGGAGGGAGTATGTGCTTCGTATTATTTAGAAATAATAGACATATTTAAGTTATGTGATACGGAGTAATATATTATTATCTTTAAAAACAGTCCACAAAATATGATATTATTTAATTTTTTATTATCTAAACATAAATGAATATTATATACCAAGTCATGTGTCATTGATCGGGTCGTTAACTCGAGTTAACCCGGTTTGACCGGTTGACTCTCGCCCTAGTTACTAATCCCGTTCGATGTGATGGTTCATTTTATTTGCTTTTACCGTTTTAGGGATTAAGGAGTATTTTATTTCATCATCCGTCAGATACTTAGATCTGCTGCACAAGTGTATTCCCTCGACAGCACTTCTAACCCGTTCTTCACCGATCCGGTAGGGTTACACAGAATTCCCCCTTCATGTAATCGATGATTAGTATAACTTCAAGTTAACCCTTTAGATTTGTTCAAAGTCGAATCGGAGTTATTCCTTTTTAAAATTGTCATTTTGGTTTTTCTTCGACACCTTTTTCTTAGGGTGAATTTCTCTCCTTGCTATTATTCCCTGGATCACTGGATTTTTGAGGAATCAAATGGCTGCGGCGCCCGCTAGAGCTCGAGCAGATTACGATTATCTCATCAAGCTTCTCTTGATAGGCGATAGTGGTACATTCCCAGCTTCTTTTTTAGCACGCTCCTACGCGTGCGTGTGATTTTAGATTTCTCTTTTTAGCCAGTTTTCACAGTATGGTATGTGAATTCTGATAGTAGTTGAATCCATCTTCGTTGTAATTACCTTAATTGCTTGGTTATGCATTTTATTGAAGTATTAGTTCACCAATTTATTGAAGTATTAGTTCACCAGTTTTCACCATTTGGTTCTTCTCGGGAAAAGCATTAAGATTAAGCATCCTAAGAGATACTCTAGATATTTGTGTGCAAGTGTCTTGAGGAGCTCTGTTTTAGTCTCCAAGGAAAGGAGTGTCTTTGTTGTGCCTCCCTCGGCCTCACCCAACAATGCCTATTCTAACAACCTCACCCTTTTGAGATTCAATTTACTCTTTTATTCTCTCAATTTAGGCTATTCATTCTATTCAAATTCATGTATTATGGCAAATGTCTTATTCAACAATTATAATTGCAAGATAATATCATAATATAGAGCTTGTTTTTAACTAACTTTTAGTTCATTTCAGTGTAATTTAGTTAGGTTCACTTGTCACTACTTTCCAATTTAGCTCAATGCTTTTTAGTGTACTTGCACATACATTTCTTTTCATTTAAATGAATTGTTTCAGTACTTTACAATTTAGTTCGATACTTTTTAGTTCACTTGCACTGTTGCACATACATTTCTTTATATTCAAATGATCTATGAGAGTATGTGTTCAGGTCGTTTTAGGTTTGATACTTTTGGATTCAGGTTCCATACTTTCGGTACTTTTGGATTAGGAGCCTTTTAAAAAATATTTAACTGCATATCAACTTTCTTGCTTTAAGTGATAATCCAAATTAAATAAATCCAATATTACAAGGTATCAATCACATAATTCTCTTTGTTCTTCTCCCATAGTGAGTGGGATAGTGGGAGCACTTTATAATGCCATATAAAGTTTATTGAAACAAGTATTTTATCAAATTGAAACCTTTCTTCATTTGAATGTAGTTATGAATACACATCAAACAACCATTTAAACTAAATTGTTCAACTTTTCACTTCAGTTCAATAATCTATCAATTCACTAAATTTCCATAAAATGAAAAAATAAAGTACCACATTCATTTTTTGTAATAGTAATTTGTGGTGGAACTGAACTAGAAGTCTAGAACTTTAAGGTTCACAATGCATCAATAATTACATAAGTTTTTGAATAAACAAAATGTTTCATACTCTCTCCGTCCCAAAAAAAAACCTTTAGAGTTTGACTTTCAGCGGAGTTTAAGTGTTGAAAAGTAAAGTATGTTTGGTTAGAATATGTTTAGATGATAGAGAAATATTGTGAGCCACATATTCATTACTAGAATAGGAAATAAAGTGTAATGTTTTTTTGGGATGTCTGAAAAAAGAAAGTAACAAGGGTTTTTTTGGGATGGAGGGAGTATAGATTAAAATAATATGGAGTAATAAGACTAATGACAATGTTGGTGACTAACATATCCAAAACAAATTAGACATCAAACACCATCACTCATATTTTTCAATGAATTTATAATAAATAACGAGTACAATTAATAAACCAAATATAAATTTATAATTATGTGAAATACATGAAACGTCAAAATACCCAAATTTAGTACCTCGGCATAGGCCCTGATGTAATATGACTAGCGTTGGCCATTTTTTTCAAAGCTCATTAATATGCAAAGCTAAATAAACTTAGTTTTATGTGTGTTACTATCATTTGTGGAACATTAATTGTCTATGTATTTATGGACTAATCATTAATGGTTTCATAATTTTAATATTGTAAAATTTAGTTTTCAAATTATCACTTTTGCTCCTTGAGTTGTATTTGAATATGGTAAAAAATTTAGGTTTCATAATTTTTTAATATTGTAAAAAATTATCACTTTTTAAATTTTAATATGTTAAAATTTAGTTTTAAAATTTAGTATTTCAAATTATCAGTAATCTTCAAATCAAACATCCAAGTTTTAGTTCTTGTGAAGTCTGCAGGTGTTGGAAATGATGTGTGTCAGTGTTCATCGTTAGTCCTTGAGAAGTCAGTGTAGTGCCGGAATGGTCCTTACTAGAGTAATGGCAGAAATGATTTCTCAAGGACTTGTCTTCTATTCACTTGTAACTGTGGGATGAAAAGCATGGTTATTTCAGTTATTTATTCATCTCCCATTTTCTGTTTGAATTTTTAGGTGTGGGTAAGAGTTGCCTTCTTTTGCGTTTCTCAGATGGTTCTTTCACCACCAGCTTTATTACCACCATTGGGTATTTATTTTTCATACTAAATGCAGTTTTATTGTCTGTTCCTATGCTGCTTTGAATATTATGCATGCATGCAAATTCAAAAGTGAGAAGAGTAAGCTTTAAATCATTAATTGTCAGTATGTAGAATTTGTTTTCGGCAACAGGAAAAACTGTGACGGATAGTAGAGTTGTAAAACAAATTATAGAAGATTGTATTGGGTATACATATTGATACAATTAAGAAGAGAGTATATTAATTCCAATTGTTACTTGCAAACTGATTCTGAAAAAAAATTGTTTTACAGCATCGATTTCAAGATAAGGACCATAGAGCTTGATGGAAAGCGGATCAAACTTCAGATCTGGGATACTGCTGGTCAAGAGCGGTTCCGAACAATTACCACTGGTAAGCATGTGGTCATTTTGTTCCTCTTTATTAACATGTGATGTGTTTTAATTCTACACTTTCCTTTTTATATCATCTCAAGGGAGTTCCAAAGTAGAAATTAATGCCTAGGAACATATAGTTTAAGCTGCAATTTTATACCTCCAATTGTCCACACCATAGTCACAGAATTCACTGCTACAACCGTGTCTTCCGTATTGGTACTTGGCGTACCCGATCGCAAATTCGGTTGCGATCCGAACGTAGGTAGTACGGTGTACTAAAATCGCGATCCGGATCAGATCGAACTAGGGTTACCGATTCCCTCCTACTATCGCTGGTTTGCGATTCAGATCACGAGAGAGATCGGGAATAGAGATCGTCCGGATCTGCGGCTGGGATAGTGATCAACGGAAACAATTTACGAAAAAGAAAGTAGGAAACGGTGCAGATTTTAACGGAAGCAACTGTCTACTTCTACGCTACTGTTTTTTTAAAGCACGCTACTGCTTTTAATAAAAAGCACAATAACTTCTATTTTCTCATAGTCACAGAATTCGCTGCTACAACCGTATCTTCCAAATTGGCACTTGGCGTACCCGATCGCAATTCGGTTGCTATCTGAATGTAGGCAGTATGGCGTACTAAAATCGTGATCCAGATCAGATCAACCTAGGGTAATTGATTCCCTCCTACTATCGCTGGTTTGCGATTCAGATCGTGAGAGAGATCGGGAATAGAGATCGTCCGGATCTGCGGCGGGGATAGCGATCAATGGAAACAATTTCTGAAAAAGAAAGTAAGAAACGACACAGATTTTAACGGAAGCAACTGTCTACTTCTACGCTACTGTTATTTTAAAGCACGCTACTGCTTTTAATAAAAAGAACAATAGCTTCTATTTTCTCTTTTGGGCTCAAACTCTTATTGGGCTCAACTTGCTTCTAATTTCTTTCTTGCCATAATTTTTCTACTAACCTTTTCTTTACAATTATCTATTGATATTCAGAAATTTTGTTTACTTATGTTTTGACTTTTGGTACACCGAACCGAATACATGACACAACGTACTGCTTCGTACCAAAATGAACCTACCCCTTTCGTACCGAATTCGTCACTCCTAGCAAATTTCATACCCGAACCGCGTACCCGTACCGGAACGTACCACGATTTAGGTTACTACGGTCCACACTAAACATGTATATGTACAACTTTCGCACAGGCAAGAAAACAACAACACCCTACTCAATGAAGTCTAACAAGTGGTTTCGAGGAGATGAGTGTACACATACATTACCTCTACTTACAAAGGGAAGAGATGTTTCCGAAAAACTCTGGCTCACAAGAATTAGGGAACCAAATCCCATAAGTACAAGCAAAGGTAAAGGTAAAGGTAAAACACATTTGAGGGCACAAAAGATTTATAAATTCATAATCATACACCAAACAAAGTAAACAATTAATGCACCCTGCTAAGTTTTGCTATCCCAATAAACCCAAATCACATAATAAATCCGTAGCATACTCTAGACTCCTATCTAGGGTCATGTCTTCATTGAAATGCAGAAGGCTCAAGTCTTGTCCAATCACCTCATCCTAGCTCTTCCTTGATCTACCCATACAAGTTATATGTGTTTTTCGGATTTTTCCACTATGAAATATACTTCCATACATTCCACATTTGTTCTTGCTACTAGCTATTTCATACGGTTCCCCTTCACTGCCCTTTCATTACAAATGTAATAACCTTCACTACTTGGCAAAAAATGAAACCAAATGATCTTGTTTTGTTCTTCGATTGAAGAGAGATGCCTTGAGAATCGGAGAAGCACTTCGATGAACATATTGGATCTATTTCGGATGGGCCTTTTTTTTCCAACTTTTAACTCCAGTTATCAAGACTCAAACTCTTGTGGCTTAATGTCAGGTTTCAAACTCTCGGTTGAGTAGGTTCCAGTCTCTAGAATCCAAATTCTATATTATAATTAAAATTAATGCAATATCGATATTCAAGATGTCTCCATCCTTCAAGACATCTTTCCGCACTAGTCCAAGTAAAATTATGCAAAAAGAATACATCCTTCATCCCTCCCGCTTCAATATGACGAGGGACATTGCCAAGGTATTAGAAGCTATCCCTCTTGAGAACAGGCTGAGAATAAGGAATCACTTCCATATCCGATGGAGCCAAAAATTCACTATTTTTCGGCTTTGGAGTGTCATGGAATTAAGCAAAATGGATCTCTAAATGTCTGCGCTTCTTTCGCTTCTTTAATTAATGAAGTAGCAATTAGTCAATCAATACAACTTTTGACGTTGAGCCGGATGTCTATTTGGAAACAGCCTCTCTATTTTCGAGTAGGGGTAAGGTCTGCGTACACACACCCTTCCCAGAACCTACTCTTGTGGGATTTAACTAGGGTGTTGCTTTTGTTGTTGCTCCACCTCTAATTCCAAGTCTTGTGCTAAGCTGTCTAACCTGCACTTCATGTAGTTTGTCTTGCTCAATTTGAAACCTTTAGATTCCAGGGTCTGCCCCTAATCCTCCCGCCAATCATTAACTCACTTGCTCGCTGGTCGGCACAATATCATCGGTACTTTCCTTGGGTATACTGCATCAAGGCGTCCATCACCGAGGCAAATAGAAAGGATTAAGGGCATGGTCTGGCGTAGTAGCCCCATTTCAACTGGAATGTGATTTGAGTCTCGCGTACATGTCTTTTTGTTCTTATATGTGCCAATGATTTTGACTTCCAAAACAACACCATACCCCAGGAACAATACCAATAAAGACTATCTATAAATCCCTCTTCCTATTTCCTACATTGCTCCATCAAACTGAAGAGGTTGATAATCTCAGTAGTTGAACACCTTGGCATGAATCCGAATTGGTTCTCTGAGATAGTCACCTCATTCTCTTTTCCAATATCCATTCCTAAACTTCCGTAGTGTGGCTGAGTAGTTCGATGCCCTTATAGACTATAGTTGCAACTTTGGATATCACATTTGCCTTTGAACAGAGGAATCATTGTGTTCTGCCTCCAGTAGCAACATGGAATTTCATAACATGTGTCCACGTTTACCACTTATTGGTCCGTGTTTTACATTAATCATGGGGGAAAATTCTGGAGACGGGAGAGGTTGAATATTTGGGTCTGGTTGCTGTTGGGTCACAAGTTCAAATTTTTTGTCTTGGACTGCGACACTTTGTTTCAAAGGATATTTTATGCTGCAGCTAGTACAAGTTAGTGAAATTATAATAAAAAAAATCCAGACGATGGAAAATGACATCTTATATGATGAATCAAAGAAAACTTTGTTGCTGGAACTCCAATAGGAGTATTGGTGCCTGTCTCTATGATTTTACAAGTTGTATTGCATGGGTCACCTTGCATGGTTGTTAAGTTGACCAGTCGAGTCGAGTTGGTGACGGGGAGACTAGTGGACTAGGCTATTAGTCGTAGACTAGTCGACAAATCACAATTAGTATTGAAATTTTTAACATTATATATATCCATAGTTGTGAATGGCGAATGGCGAGTGGCGGGCGAGAGGTTCTTTTTTATGGCGAGAAGCGTGGCGAGCGGCGGGCGGTCAAATGGCGAACATTATATAAATAAATAAATAAATAAATAAATATATATATATATATATATATATTAATATATATAAATATATATGGTTTAAGTCTAAACTTTTAGTCTTAACTTTGTATCAAACATAATTATCAAAGTAAAACATGAGTTATTGGTAAAAATTAAAACAAAAAACAAAATTTAGTACTTAAAAACAAAGCAAAATATTTAATCATAATCCTCATCCGTCAAATCCAAGCCACCATCATCCAAGTGATCCAACTCATTGCTAGCACCAACAAATTCAGTCTCTTCTCCATAATCATCTTCCTCAACTTCTTCAAACTCCTCATGAATAACTTCTCGAATGTTAGTAGCTCTTCTTGGTTGTGGTTGTGGTGTTGAACTACTCGTGCCGGTGGTGCCACTAGGTGCTACCCTACGAGTATAGTAGATAGGCTCTTCTGCTCCTGATGCTCTAGAAATATCACCCACTGTGAGATCATGAATTGTCTCCTCGGAGCATTCTTCACCAATGAACCACTCACTAAAATCATCTATGTCCTTCAAGGATATGGGGTCAATAGCATCCCTCATTTTGTGACGCCTCATCAATGCTCTGTTATACTTGACAAACACTAGGTCATTCAACCTTGCTTGGTCCAATCTGTTTCTCTTTTTGCTGTGAACCTACCATGCGATAAATTTGAAGTGATAAATCAGAAACATCACATACGCAAAAATACATATTAATGTTTCTTGATTCCTTACTTACATGTTCAAAAAAACTCCAATTTCTTTCACAGCCAGATGAACTACAAGTTAAGCTGAGGATCTTGATCGCAAATTGTTGCAAATTGGGTGCACTGCCACCATAAGCTTTCCACCACTCCACTGCAAAAGTTTAATTTTTANATATTTAATACTATTATTAAATTATTATTATAAATTTGTAATGCATATATTTATTTTTACTATTGAATACCTGCTGGTTTTGAATTTCTCTGACGCTTGGCAAAATTGAATCCCATTGTACCCTCTGCATTTCTGTAGAGTATGAGCTCATCAGTAATTGTCTCTTGCAGAGTTGCATCTGGCACTAATTTCTCAAGGCATTGGTAGAACCCATCTGTTATTTCTTTAGTTTGTTCAATCTCTGGATTTGAATAGAAATACTGAGGGTTCAGAAAATAACCAGCTGCATGTAATGGGTGGTGGAGCTGAACATTCCACCCGAGATCAATAATTTCAAAGAAACGGCCATATTGTGTCGCATCTCCTCTAAAACTATTTGCTATGGCCTCTTTAGCTCTGTCCATCGCCTCATAAATATAACCCATTGCAGGTTTTGTTTCACCATCAACTAAACGAAGAACTTTGAGTAGAGGAGTGGCAATTTTGAGGGATTTCAAAGTTCCCTGCCAAAATGTTTCAGAAAAAATAGTCCTCTGAACTTGTTTGCCTTTTTGCTCTTGTGCCCATTTGCTTCCTGTCCATGCCTCTGAAGTAAATAAAGATCTCAATTCTTTCCTCAACGAGTGTATCCTTCCAAGTGTTAGTGCAGCAGTGGCAAAACGAGTAATACCAGGCCTCACTAAATCCAACTTAGTAAACTTTCTCATCAAGTTCACTAGGCCCGGTCGAGTATAAATAAAACTATTCATCTTCAATGCTTTGTTGTAAACATTACGAATATCTGGCACTTTGAATACATCCTCCAATATCAAGTCCAAGCAATGAGCTGCACAAGGCGTCCAAAACAAATGCTTATACTTTGCCATTAATAAGTCTCCTGTTATCACAAAAAAAATTGGAAAAAAAAATTAAACTAAAAAAAACATCAAAATAAAAACATAAAATCTAAATATATGTACTTTTTAAATTTTTAAGGAAAGTATAAAGGAGTCATGAATCAAACCTGCACTCTTCATGCTTGAACCATTGTCAGTAATCACTTGCACCACGTTCTGTGGACCAACACTTTCAACAAATTCACTAAGAAGCTCAATGACCTTTTTTTCACCTGTCTTAGAATACTCAGAAGCATCAACGGATTTCTCAAACACACTACCTTTGGGAGAATTAACTAAAAAGTTAACTAATATTCTCTCCCTATTATCTTTCCATCCATCCGACATAATGGAGCAACCATTTTTCGCCCATTCTTCTTTATGGCCTTCCATGGATTTCTTCACACGCTCAACTTCTTTCTTGAGAAGAGGAACTCTTACCTCATAATAAGATGGAGCTTTCATTCCTGGGCCATGGTTTCCAATTGCATCAATCATTTCTTGGAAACTTTCATAGTTCACTGCATTAAAAGGAATAGCAGCATCACACATCCATCTTGATATGGCCGAACATGCTTGACTTCGCAACTCTTTAAATGCTTCTTCATTTAAGTTCTTCTGTTTATTCATTGTCTTAGCACTTTGTTGTCCAGTATGAGTATGACTAACAAACATCCATAGGCCCCTTCCTGTTCAACTCTGGCTTTTTAGATTTAGCCAATTCACCAATTCCATCATCATCTTCATAATCATCTCCATAGTCAATCAAAGCCTCTTCATGAAATCGTTGTCGATCAACTTCCCTGTCTAGCACAACCTGATCTTTTGTCTTCTTCTTCTCAGCCATATAAGATCGAATCTCTTCTCTTACAACATCAGACACTCTGTCACATGCCTTTACATCAGAATACCCACCAACAATATGTCGTTTTGCTCTACTAATTCCTCCAGTGTAGCGGTTATTTCAAAAAATACACGTAGTATTATTTGTACTTTTAGGATCCTCAAGTCGAATATATTTCCAAGCTAAATCCTTTCGATTACTTTCGGAGGAAGTTTCTGCCATTGGTGAAAAACTATTGTACAAAAAAAAATTAAAAAAATATATCTAAGTGTGAGTGTGACCTGCGAACTATTTGTAAAGAAACAATAACCATTCACTAAAAAAACAAAAAAAAGGTCTGAGTGACCTGCGAAGTGTGGACTCTGGCTCTGAATCTGCGAAGAAGTGACTCGGGAGAGAGGGAAGAGGGTCTGCGCCGGCTGAGGAGCACTTGAAAAGGGCAGGAGGCTGAGTCGGCGAGGAGAATTTGATCGACGGCGAGGGGCAGAGGCAGAGGCGAGGCAGTTGAATCGATGAAGTGCTTCGATCGTGTACTGATATAGGTCAGGTCAGCGGGCTTTTTAAAAAAAAAAGTCAATAAAAACCCTTGACCGGTCTGGCGTAGATAGCGAACGCCTTTCGCCACAGCCTTTGGCGTCCATGGCGACCGCCTATGGCGAGATTGGCGTAAAACGCCTCGCCAGGCATGATGATGGCGTCAGATGGTCGCCACACAGCCATAAGCGAAGCATGTCATCTGACCATTGGTGAGCTTTGCAGTGTAATGTGGTGAGCTTTGCGTCATCTCACCGAAGCATGTCATCTCACCGTAAGGTGTCATCTCACTGGAGTCAATCCCTATATATATATATATATATCTACACACACATTTATATGACAAAATACCATAACCAAAGCAAACTTATGTTTAAAGATGTAGACGGAAGTCAGGGAACTGCTGGAACTGAAAGACGTCGCTGATGGAGGAGAGTCGCGACCCTGTATTGACTGTCAATTGGATGGATTGTGTCGAAAAAGGCCGTGTTTTATCGGAAATTTTAAATATTAATGAAATTTGGGTCAGGTCGGGTCAACTTGGGTTAGGTCAAATTGGGCAATTTCTTTCAGCGACTAGGCGTCGCCTACGCGCGACTAAGCGTCGCTCTGCACGCTTTATCGCCTAGTCTGCCCTAGGCGCTAGTCGAAGAGCAAAGCGTCATCCCAAAACCGCCCGGACGACTAGTCGGCGACTAGTCGTGGCCTATGCGACGACTTGACAACATATAGTCTCTGATGTATGTTACTATGTTTCCTGTATATCTATGGAATTGCCTAATGTTGTGCTTCCCATCTTTACCGTTATGAACAAAGCATGTAGAAGCAATAAGATCCCTAATAGTTTTTTTACGAATAAATAAAGGTACAACAAGTAGGAACACATGTATGAGGCCTGCCTAATTAATTTTCATTCCCGTATTCATCTTGTATTTCATTCACGAAAAATGATACCATAAAAAACTACTCCCCGTCCTAAATTAAGTTCATTTTAAGCAGACAGTTTAAGAAAAGTCTGGAAAAGTGAAAAATGTGTGCTTGAAATTGATAAGAAAGAGAGAAATAATGATAGCTACATATTCCTTTACAAAAAAAAGGAAATGGACTATTTAATTTGGAATAGATGAAAAAGGAAAGTGTGTTTATTTTTGGACAGAGGGGGGTTCTATAGGCGTAGTTGAGCTGGCAAGTTTTTTCACATCATCTCATTCAACTGTTTTACTTTAATCTCTTTGGTTAATAATTTCTTCTTTTTAACTGTTATCGTTTTTTTGTGTTTTTCTGAAATGCAGCTTACTATCGTGGAGCCATGGGCATTTTGTTGGTCTATGACGTGACTGATGAGTCGTCTTTTAACAGTAATTTTTGCATTATATGCTATAAAGTATTGTATATTATTTAATTCAAGACCTTTTGTATACTCAAGCCTATAAACACATATGTATTTTATGTATGATCTTTTTAACCCATTACACGATTTATTGTCCATAATTCCCTTCTACCAGATTGTATTTGGTTGACTTTTTAATTGGACTGAATGACTGATTGATGAAAATTTTCATACCTAGACATCAGGAACTGGGTTCGAAACATTGAACAGCATGCTTCAGATAATGTCAATAAAATACTAGTTGGAAACAAGGCTGACATGGACGAAAGCAAAAGGGTACTTTGTCATTTCAGCTGTTAAATTTCACATGCAATATGTTTAATGTGTTAACACAAACTCATGTTTTTCTGATGCATGCGTGCTTTAGAAGTTGTTATTCACTCTTTACTTATTATATGACTGAATTGAAACAAGCCATTGTTTTCTAGGCCGTGCCTACTTCCAAGGGTCAAGCATTAGCTGATGAATATGGAATTAAATTCTTTGAGACAGTGAGTATTACTCCGTATAATTTACTGCTGGTAGCATGGAATTATTATTTTTTATAGTATTTTTTCCAAGTCATCTTATCAATTTCATGTAGAGTGCCAAGACCAATATGAATGTGGAGGAAGTTTTCTTTTCAATAGCTAGGGATATTAAGCAAAGACTGGCAGAGTCTGACTCAAAAGCCGAGGTATTAAAATAGATTTTGCACTCCATTTTCACCTTGCTATTGTTATTCCTATTATCAGTTATTTATTTGTGAGATTTCACTGCTTGACTAATCAAATTAAACACGAAAGCTCGTTTCAGCTGTGAGATACTACCAGAACAAAGGGAAGTACTTATAATCACAAAACAAAGCATATCACAGTTGTCTAGCCGTGAGACAGTCAGTGGCTTGCTATTTGAATTCATCATGTTATCGTTCTTGTTGAACTATATTTATTTACCATTGAAGTGATGTGCATTTAATTAGAAGCATGCGCACGCACTGCGTTTTTTCCATTTACTAAGATATGATATCTTTGTTATTTTCGTGTTCTTCTCTATACACAGCCTGACTTCCAGGCCTCTAAAAGATTCCTTCAAAAATTTCTTACTGACCCCATCTTTTACTGGGAACATTCCAGCCCCAGCCCCTCAACGTGAATCAAATAGGGAATGATGGGGTAGGAGGAGCAGCTCAAAAATCTGCTTGCTGTGGTTCCTAAGCAATTTAATTTGCTGATCGGATATGAATATGATAAAGTTTCTGTTGATACACCGTCAAGGCCCGAGAGAGGAACTTATCTTGTTTGACTATTTTGATGGGCATATTCTTTATTAAACATCACATTGCTTTCCTTATCAACTATTTGCATTATGTTCCAGCTTTTGATTTTCCTAGACGAGTGCAAGTATATGAAACTCTAAAACAATTCTATATGTGTCCTTTTGTGTTAATTTTCACCAAGCTCTGTTTTAGTCATGCATTATTGTTCTTACACTCGGTCATGCCTCCCTTGTGTATTGTAAGAGCTCATAAAAAAATACGGAGCATTATGGAGTAATTTTTTTTCAATTTCTTTACGATTTTATGATTTTACCTTTCCTCTCCTAGCTTTTCTTCTTCGTCATCCCCCCTCCACAAGTTTCTTCTTCTTTTCCACGAAGGTTTCTTCTTAAACACTGCAGAAGTTGAGTCCACATTTTTCTTACTTTGTCCTAGTGTCTACTTTGAATTTTTTGAGTCAAATTGGAAAAATTTTAAAAACTAATTACACACATTAATATACCTCAATAAAATATTAAAATTCTTTACCAGATAAATGTAATGAAATTATATATTACTACTCCCTCCATCCCATTATAAGTTGTCTGTTTTCTTTTTTTGGCCGTCCAAAATAAGTTACTTGTTTCTTATAATAATAAACTTTTAAGGGTAAAATAGCTAAACTATTCCTAAAATAAGTCACTCCTCTCCAGTCTCTGCCTTATCTTCTCATTCATTACTACCCCCGTAAAAAAACAACACATTTATAAAAAATCAACACCATTTTTTTCCTTCCTTAAATATGCTCCAAAGTCAAAACGAGCAATATAAAATGGGACGGAGGGAGTAATATGGAGTACGTAGTACAGAGTATGTAGTATATATATATATATGAATAAATTCTCAAAATGGTCCTTTGGATTAAGATGTTTTTTCTCAATTCAGTTATTAATAAGTTTTAATTACCTACATGGTCTTCTATAATTGAGTTTTTTTTCCTAAATAATTTCGTAAATAATGTTATTCAAATGATGATTAATTGGGGATATTTTGGCATTTCTATCATTTAAATTTGAAGTATACTTTCAAAACGGTCATTTCTGTATAACTAAATGTAAAATTTAAAAAATACATTGACTATACATAATCAATAAATTATTAAAAATCTATAAAAAAATCTTTTAAATTTCGAATCAAATATACATCTTTAATTAGAAAAACCATTTTGGGAAAGCATTTCATTAGTAATGATCATTTTAAAAACTTATTCCAAATTTAATGGATAAAAATATCAAAATACCTCTAAATTAGTCATCATTTGAGTAACATTATTTACGAAGGACTATTTTGATATTAAATTTCAATTATAGAGGACTGGTTTTGGAAAACACACCTTATTAGAGACGATCATTTTGAGAATTTACTATACATATACATACATACATACACACACACACACACACACACACACACATATATATGTATGTATGTGTGTGTGTGTGTGTATATATATATATAGGTTTTGGATCAAATAAGAAAAAGATCTAATGAAAGAAATAAGAATAAATATCAACCGTTGGATCCACTTTATCTGCCATTTCCCATCTAAACCGTAGCAAGGGTAAAAAAGAATTTTACCACTCTGGGCATTATCGTTCCACCTTCTTCTCCGTGAATTAAGCCCACGTCCCTGCGCACCTTCAGCCCCGGTTACGACGCTTTCAGTTACCGGAAGACATTGCTTGGCATGGATTCCTTTTTAATTTTTCCGCATATACGTCTGCGTCCTCCCCCCTTCAGCATAATAGCCTCTGTGACAGGAACTACCGGCGTGCCCCCTTCATTTAACCTATGGAATTTCACGGAGACAACGATTACGCGATGGAATTTCACTCACAACCAGGTACCCTTTAAATTCAACCCTGTTATTTTGTAATTTTTCGTATCTGTTAATTATCATCTCTTTTTTTTGGAAAAAAATTAGTATTTGTGTGATGGAAAATTTAGTAATTGTGTGAATTTCGAAACTCTGGGATTAAGAACAAAGTACTAATCCCAATTCTGAATGACGCATTTCACCAATTAATGCATACACAGAACATAGTAATACATTTTCCTATCAAATTTATGCACTATAATTATCCTAGCTCACATGTCCTAGAAAAAAGAAGCAATTCACACCAATTATTTAGCCTTTCCTTTCCCAAGTCTCACTACTAGAGCTGTCAATACATTGCTTCATATTAAAACAGTTATGTGCCACTCACCGTTATATTGCTCCACTCGAGTGTAAGTCTCCTTCCACATATGAATGACCCGTTGAGGTCATGCTTCGTGCAATGATATCCTGAAACCGTTTTTTTAAAACTAATTTAAAACTCCACATCTATGATGAGATTTTAATGCATTCCTAAAATGAAATATTTAGGTGTCATCCTCAAATTTTTGTAATTTTGCTTGGCTTGAATTGCAATATCCAGCATACACAGTGCACTTTTATCCATTTTTATACCCCAAATCAAATGCACAAACTATGCTCCTACTACGTATGTTGTTACAATATCATGTCTTCACGTTGCTGCTGTATTAGTAAAATAGTGCTGAATTATTCACTTTTATTCATACAGCTACCCCCACAAAGTATCAGGAAGTGCCAAATGAAGGCAGCAGTTCTTATGTCGAACGTCATTGGGTCCCGCAATGCCCTGATAATTACATTCCAAAGGTAGGCATGGTTTTTAAAGACTTGGATGATGCTATTTGATTTTATCGTGCTTATGCTGCTGAGGCGGGGTTTGATGTGCGCAAGACTACCACTACAAAGAAAAAGGGCTCCGTTGTTTGGAAATACGTTGTATGTAGCCGCGAGGGTAAAAAACATGTCCCCACAATATCCCTCAACGATGCATCACATGACAATGGACATGCTGCGTTACCTAAACCTGGGAGAAGAAGACGCATTTCTAAGCGTATAGGCTGTATGGCACGTGTTGCATTTCGCATCCTTGGACATGATGGTTACGTTCTCAGCATATTCGAAGAACAACACAATCATCCTCTCACTTCTCTCCCCTACAGGCCATTTTCGAAGATCAACAGGAACATTGATCTAGGCCATAAGAAGTTCATACTCAACTGTGCTAAAGCGAATATTGGCACCATGAAATCATACCGACTTTTCAAGGAGTCCGCTGGTGGGTATTCAAGTGTTGGTGCTATTGTTGTGGACTTCAAAAACATCAGACGCGATTTGAAGGCCTATATTGCTGGTGGAGATGCTCAAATGGTAATTGACAAATTATTCCGAAAATCAGAAGTATGCCCTGGATTTAGGTTTGATTATGAAGTTGACGAGTACGACCAGCTGTCCAGGCTATTTTGGTGTGACGCTGCTTTTAGGAAAAGCTACTCCCTGTTTGGTGATGTTGTCTCCTTTGATGCCACATATAAAACCAACAGGTCACACATCTATTAATTTCCATTTATCACATCTCACCTCATACGAATATAGCATGCAACTCTTTGTTGATTCATAGCACTATCCATGTCCTTATCAGTTCTTGTAGGTACATGATGATATTCGCTTCGTTCACTGGTGTCGACAACCATAAAAAGTGCATGACATTCGGCTTTGGCTTACTGTCAAGCGAGGACGCTGAGTCATATTCATGGTTGTTGAGATCATTCATGAACGCGATGGGGAATGCTCCAAGCTGTATCATAACTGATCAAGATCCTTCAATGTGAATTGCAATAGAAGAAGTCTTAGCACAAACCAAGCATCGCTATTGATTGTGGCATATTATGAACAAACTATCAGGGAAAGTTGGTCCGGTGTTAAGCAAGGATACGGAATTCATGAATCGCATTAATCAGGTGGTCTGGACTCATTACTTGGACAAAAAAGAATGGAAAGCACAATGGCGCAGTGTTATGGCAGGCTACAACCTCACGGAGCATTCGTGGTTCAAGTCACTATACACGTTACGTATGTTTTGGATTTCAGCCTATTTCAGGGATCTATTTATGGCCGGGCTATTGCGCACTACGTCTAGATCAGAGAGTGAAAACAGTTTCTTTGACGATTTCACCGACCGCAACTTTAGCATAGTTGAATTATTAATGCAATTCGAGAGTGCAATGGAGGACCAACAGTTCAAATTTACTCGTTTGAACTCAGAATCTGAGTAGGGGATTCTAGTGTTCAAAACCCCATTAAAGATTGAGAAACACGTTGCATCGTTATTCACTCTCTCTGTCTTTTATGATGTGCAAAAAGAGGTTTGTGCATCCTGCTTTTCATGCTCTATTGTATGTATCCAAAACAGTGAGGATGCTTTCGAGTATCAGATCAGCGATGTAAGTGGGATGATATCAACTGTCTGCTACTGTGAACGCGATGGGACCGCGCATTGCACTTGCAAAAACTACGAACGCATTGGCTTGCTATGCAGGCATATCTTTGTTGTTTTCAAAAACCCGAAAATAGAAAAGATCCCCGACTTGTATGTTACCAACCGCTAGTGCAAATTCCACTTGCTCAAACCAATGTTCGATGTAGGTGGCTAAGAAATGGACAAGGTATCATTTACGGATCAAAATAAGACTCTTGTTTCTCGATTGATGTCAGACATCCACTTTTGTATTGCCTTGGTGGAACACAACCCTAATCTGCTACTTGCGTTTTCCAACACTATAAAGGAGGCGCTAATCGACAAACTTCAAGATGGCAAACTATCATCTGGCACATCCTCGGTGTTTGAAAACTTTTGTGGCACTTCTGCACCTTCAGAAGTTCGTGTATTACCCCCTGCGCAAGTTTGCACGAAGGGCAGCGGTAAGCGTATTAAAGGAGGAAAGGAAGTTAGCATTGAAGAATCAAAGAAAACCAAACGCTTGTGTCGGACATGCAAAGAATATGGCTTCCACGACAGTAGGAACTGTCCTATGAACCATGAGAAGTGATAAGTCTGTTTTCCGGTTCCACTTTTATTGTTTATTAATGTTTCAGTTATTTTTATTCCATTTATATGTCTCCAATTTTTTCCCAACTTTTGTATTCCTGAATTGAAATAATCAATCCCAATGGTTGAATGACTCATTTTCAACACCAATTCACCACCCCCTCCCCCCACCTTCACAGACAAAACTACTCACCTCCCATTATAACATGCTCATTTCTTGAATGTATCACCTACTTCTACCCCTGTAGCATTTCATTTTTTTAATACTGCATAAATCATTTGTGTCAAAACAGACCACTCTTTAACTGAATTTTCATATAAGAGTTGTACATTCCACCTTTAAAATAGATTTCATACCAATATATGGATATATTGAAGTGGATATGAAGCATATTTTAACATGACTTCATGTATGGATTTATTTTTTACTGAGGTTTTAAAACCATATAGAGTGGGGTTCTGTTTACTGAAACGTGTTCACCCCGTTTGCAGAACGTATATAAATGGTAACACATATAATGTACATCATGGCATGTCACAGACAATATATGCGGCTCACACACCCAGAAATGCACAAGCAAATCCCTCGAATGCATCATTTAAACTTTTTTTGGTTCAAGGATTTTTGAGGGAAAAGAAAAAAATGGTTTTATCCCCTTTTCCTCAGCAAAATGGGATGAGTTTGATTTCCTTTCCATAAATATATTTTGCCTTGTCACATTCTTTTCCTTCAACTTTTACTCACTAACCGAACAAGACACAATTATTTTTCCTATTATTTCCTTTTCCTTTCAGATTCCTTGAACCAAATATGGTGTTAATAAACAACTAGTGTCCTTCACTATTCAAATGATTTATTATAACACTATTAAAGTCATTTAGTGATGCATCCATTGGTGTTGGAATGCATGAGTTCAACCCTTTCTGTGTTGTTAAGTGTTGACTCACAGGTTTTGATAATTGATAAACACAATTTATTCAAGTCAAGATCAAAGTGCTACAACGACAAACACGAAGACTTGAAGTGCCATTCCTTGAAGTACTCAATAAGGTGCACAGGATTTTAGTGGAGTCCGAGACGCGTTCGAAGCGCCTAACGGAGGACTCGGAGGTGTAGAAGATTTTCGAAGACTTTTTATTTATTTGAGTCTTAGGAAATATTGTAAGGATGACAAAAATATCTTCTCTCCAAAAATAATTTTATGAGAGTTAAAATAAAAATTATATTTATTTTTGGAGTCAGTTGAAAAATCTTTTAACTGTTCAAAATACTTTTATTGAGTCAGTTTCAAAAGGATTGTCAAACATTTATCAAAATATTTCTTTTAATATTATAAAATATTTTTGGTAAGCAAAAATATTTTATTCAAATATTTTTCGTGTACATCGTTTGAGACACAAAATATTTTTGGGACTCATTTTCTACACCAAATATTGTTTCTCATAATTCAAAATTGAATCTGAATTATTTTATTTGAATTGGGAGCCTCCTTATACTGATTTCTATGTCTCAAACATTGGATTAAATCCAAATTGTCCTTCACCTCGCCCACATGCTTGTGTTCTTCATGTCTGGGTATTATTGTTGCAATAATCGATTATTACCTCTGGAATTAATCGATTATCTTGTACAGAAGGAACTAATCGATTAACACTTTTGGCTTTAATCGATTATTGCTATTCTGCGCAGAAGGAATTTGGCTCTTGCAAATTTAATCAATTTTTGAAGCTGCTTTAATCGATTTTTTATGATGCATTAATCGATTATGGTGATGCATTAATCGATTATTTTGCTGCATCTTTTTTGCACAGCTTCTTTTCCTGGACCAACGGATATATTTCTTCACCTCCTATTTAAACACTCTTCCTTGGTCATTTTTAACAACAAGAAACACTCCAATACTCCCCATTCTTGAGGTGTTAATCCTCCATCAATCTTTCCTCAAATTTATATCATTTTGAGAGAAAACTATTTGTTTTTAAGAGAGGTTTCTTGTCATCCATTAGNCAGAAGGAACTAATCGATTAACACTTTTGGCTTTAATCGATTATTGCTATTCTGCGCAGAAGGAATTTGGCTCTTGCAAATTTAATCAATTTTTGAAGCTGCTTTAATCGATTTTTTATGATGCATTAATCGATTATGGTGATGCATTAATCGATTATTTTGCTGCATCTTTTTTGCACAGCTTCTTTTCCTGGACCAACGGATATATTTCTTCACCTCCTATTTAAACACTCTTCCTTGGTCATTTTTAACAACAAGAAACACTCCAATACTCCCCATTCTTGAGGTGTTAATCCTCCATCAATCTTTCCTCAAATTTATATCATTTTGAGAGAAAACTATTTGTTTTTAAGAGAGGTTTCTTGTCATCCATTAGAGCTAAACTTTTTCTCATTCCTACTCTTTTGAGAGCTATTGTTGAGAGGTTGAAGAAGATTATTCTTCTTGTTGTTCAAGACTTATGTGACTTAAGTCTTGGTTGTGAAGTCTTGTAGAGGGCATATCTACGAGCGGTTGTGTCGAGGCTTGTGGGATTCAAGTTCTCGAGTTGTAAACGGTTTGTTAAGCACCCGTAAGCTTAACACAAGTAGTGGTAGCTTCGAGAGAGTCTGTCGGGGAACTGGACTAGCCACGAGGTGGTGAACCAGTATACATCGGTGTGTTCTTTGCCTTCTCTCTTTTATTTCTGCTGCACTTACGTTCATATTATCAATCCTGCGAAAATCGGTAAACATTCTCAACAACTCTATTCACCCCCCCTCTAGAGTTGCACGCCTTGTCTAACAATTGGTATCGGAGCGGGTATCTCTAGCGCTTTTTGTGACGTTTGAGAAAACGATCAAATTTTTTTTGAGAATGTTGAACGCAGGGATTAGAGAAGGGCAATCCACCGAAAGACCACCGTTGTTCAATGGAACAAATTATTCATATTGGAAAGAGAGAATGAAAGTATTCATTTAATCCATTGATTATAAATCATGGATGATGATCAACAATGGACTTTGTCTTCCAACAAAGAAGGTTGGCAAGAAAAGAATCCTCAAACCCGAAGAGGAGTACACGGATGATCATTTCATGAAGGTCGAACAAAGTGCTAAAGCTCTACACCTTCTATTTTGTGCCATCGACGTGGAAGTATTCCAAATTTTCTCGGGATACGTATCGGCCAAGAAGTTATGGGACGACATTCAAGAGAAATATGAAACTCTTGAAGAGGCAATTGAAGAACCCCACATTTGCTTCATAGCCAATGAAGAAGAAGAGGTAAGTACTTCAATCTCTCCTTCTTTTGAAGATATTACAAGAAGCTTTTATAGAACTATTTGGTGAATTTAAGAAAGCTTCAACAATTGCCAAAGAGTCTAAGGCTAAACATCATGATTTCGAGAAAAAAATAAAGTTTTGAAAAATGATAATCATGATCTTAAAAGTTCCTATTCTATTGACCCAAGTTCTACATGTTCTTCTTGTGAGTCTTCAAAGTTAGGGAACATAGAACTTAGGAGCACTTCAGAAAAACTTAAGGTAGAAGAGCCTAAGAAAACCATTAAAAAGGGGAAGATAAATAATACACCTAGAAGAAATAATCCTAGGAATATTAAATATTTTAGGAATAATTTTAGACAATCTAGAAATGACACTAGGAAATTTAAAAATGATAGGATGAATTTTAGACAACCTAGAAATGATTCTAGGAATTTTATAAATGGAAGGATTGATTTTAGACAACCTAGAAATGAGTCTAGGAATATTAATTCTAGGAATTATGATTTTAGATCACCTAGATATTATTTGGCTCAACCTAGACATATGCACAACCCTAACGTAATATGCCACTATTGCAATCGGGTAGGACACATTGCACCCATATGTTTTACGAAACATAGGGATTTATGGTATGATTATGATTATTTTTCTCCTAACCATCGAGGACCCAAAAGTGGTTGGGTACCTAATCTTAATTTTTAGATGCCCATGAATGGTGTGCTTGAAGACTACAAATTTGTAGTGGATGCTCCAAGCACTTATTCAAAGAGATTGCATCAAAGGGGAGTGTTTACATAATTTCTTTTAATGAATTTATATGAATTTATTTGGGAATTTATATAGGATGTTTTGCATATAGTAAGGGGGAATTTTTTTCTAAATGTGTTAATCTTTTTATATGCTTTTTTTTGGAGAGATAGCATACTTTAAGGGAGAAGTATTTTATTTCCTAGAAATGCATGATTTTAGGGGGAATGTGATTTTTCTTAATTGTTTAGAATTTTTTTTTCTCCCCGGAATGCATGAGTTCTTTTGTTGCATTATTTTTCATAATGCCAAAAGGGGGAAGAGTATAGGAGTATATGCTTTAATTTGTTATTTGTTGGTAGCATATCCTCCATGTGTTTGTCATTATCAAAAAGGGGGAATTTGTTCGAATGCATGAGTTCAACCCTTTTTGTGTTGTTAAGTGTTGACTCACAGGTTTTGATAATTGACAAACACAATTTATTCATGTCATGATCAAAGTGCTACAATGACAAACACGAAGACTTGAAGTGGCATTCCTTGAAGTACTCAAGAAGGTGCACATGATTTTATTGGAGTCCGAGACGCGTTTGAAGCGCCTAACGGAGGACTCGGAGGTGTAGAAGATTTCCGAAGACTTTTTATTTATTTGAGTCTTAGGAAATATTGTAAGGATGACAAAAATATCTTCTCTCCAAAAATAATTTTATGAGAGTTAAAATAAAAATTATATTTATTTTTTGAGTCAGTTGAAAAATCTTTTAACTGTTCAAAATACTTTTATTGAGTCAGTTTCAAAAGGATTGTCAAACATTTATCAAAATATTTGTTTTAATATTATAAATATTTTTGGTAAGCAAAAATATTTTATTCAAATATTTTTCGTGTACATCGTTTGACACACAAAATATTTTTGGGACTCATTTTCTACACCAAATATTCTTTCTCATAATTCAAAATTGAATCTGAATTATTTTATTTGAATTGGGAGCCTCCTTATCCTGATTTCTAGGTCTCAAACATTGGATTAAATCCAAATTGTCCTTCACCTCGCCCACATGCTTGTGTTCTTCATGTCTGGGTATTATTGTTGCAATAATCGATTATTACCTCTGGAATTAATCGATTATCTCGTACAGAAGGAACTAATCGATTAACACCTTTGGCTTTAATCGATTATCACTTTTCTGCGCAGAAGGAATTTGGCTGTGGAAAATTTAATCGATTTTTGAAGCTGCTTTAATCGATTTTTTATGATGCATTAATCGATTATGGTGATGCATTAATCGATTATTTTGCTGCATCTTTTTTGCACAGCTTCTTTTCCTGGACCAACGGATATATTTCTTCACCTCCTATTTAAACACTCTTCCTTGGTCATTTTTAACAACAAGAAACACTCCAATACTCCCCATTCTTGAGGTNAAATTTAATCGATTTTTGAAGCTGCTTTAATCGATTTTTTATGATGCATTAATCGATTATGGTGATGCATTAATCGATTATTTTGCTGCATCTTTTTTGCACAGCTTCTTTTCCTGGACCAACGGATATATTTCTTCACCTCCTATTTAAACACTCTTCCTTGGTCATTTTTAACAACAAGAAACACTCCAATACTCCCCATTCTTGAGGTTTCTTGTCATCCATTAGAGCTAAACTTTTTCTCATTCCTACTCTTTTGAGAGCTATTGTTGAGAGGTTGAAGAAGATTATTCTTCTTGTTGTTCAAGACTTATGTGACTTAAGTCTTGGTTGTGAAGTCTTGTAGAGGGCATATCTACGAGCGGTTGTGCCGAGGCTTGTGGGATTCAAGTTCTCGAGTTGTAAACGGTTTGTTAAGCACCCGTAAGCTTAACAGAAGTAGTGGTAGCTTCGAGAGAGTCTCTCCGGAAACTGGACTAGCCACGAGGTGGTGAACCAGTATACATCGGTGTGTTCTTTGCCTTCTCTCTTTTATTTCTGCTGCACTTACGTTCATATTATCAATCATGCGAAAATCGGTAAACATTCTCATCAACTCTATTCATCCCCCCTCTAGAGTAGCATGCCTTGTCTAACAATTGGTACTTATGTTCTCTACGTTGATATCACAATGCGGCAACCTCTGTTTCGAACAACTACAATTTCAATCACTTCATCAATCATTATGTTCACAAATCTCAAAACAGATGTGTATGATAATCACTCAATCCAACCACTTACAACACTCCTAATATACGTAATGACAAACACATTCTAAAAAAATAGACAAGTCTTCATCACTCTACACACCACATAAATCAAGCCACAAACTCGCCAAATCTGGCAACACCACAAGTTCATTCAAAAAACCATAACCATTCATACCATATACAAAAAAAACCACTGCCTCTAATCCACACAAAAAAACCCAACTATGGGCTGATAACTCGTTCCCAAATAACACTTCCATCAATGAACGGTGTCACCAACTTTCACCAACAACAAATTAAAATAATTCAACAAAAACACAAAAGTAAGATGCAGCCATTCCATGGGAGGGTTCACTTAGGATCCTTTTCCTTCCTCTCCCTTTCAAGTTTCTCCGACTCTTTGTAAACCTTGTCCAACAGTGCATTAACTGGGCTTAGAAGTATACATGCGCAGTACTTGCATCGCAGCAACAACATAGGTTTCAGATTTAACCTCGACACGCCACTGTTCCATCCTTTGCCACCATCCCCCATATACGTCTCCATATGACGCATGGTTGCCACACCGTAGTCAAACGTAGCCTTCGGATCTCTCCAAGGGAACGTAATTCTCTTAGCAACCATTTCTCTAACACATTTACCTTTGAAAACAAACCTCTGCTGCTCAAGAAAATCACCCAACAACCTCACCTGGTTGAGACATTTCATGTTAATAAATCATCCACATTAATATACCTTGTCTTAAAACCATGCACCCAAAGTTCTTACAACTCGTTTTGGCATGTCACCATATCTGTCTTCGTTTTTTTCTTTCGCTGAAGAGCTATCCAGGATGTCACAGCGTCTGCTTTTTAGGCCAACACACAACACATATGCCCAGTTCTGTTGCATAATAGGAAAGAAAAACTGCACATAATCCAAAAAATCACACATTAACAAATTCTCTCAAACACAATGAACTACTGATAAACCACGCAGAACGATACAACCAATTTCAATCTTCACATTGCATCTACTATAAACATTCTTACCAGTTCAGCTTTCCCCCAGTTGAAATCATCTGCCATGTCATCCCACGCAGGAAGCAGCGCATTTGCAAACATGTTCTTCACGTTCGCCTTAGACACATCGACGATATCCCCATTTGCAACCTTTTGTTTTCAAAACATGTCAGTTCAAGCATCATGGGAATCCCCTTTCAAACTTAAGTACGCACACAGAAAAAATAACAGCTTACACAATCCATGCTCCTAGCAAACACACGCAACGGGGATTCTTCACTTCTGAATTTCTCATTGTGGTTGAGTATTATTGACCAGACATCTATCACCCTCTTTGAAATATGCTTCCCTATATCCAACGACGCAATTTCACCTCTTGTTAACTCAAATCCATCCTTCACGAAAACAGCTTCATCCCTAAACATCATAATATGTGATTATTAAAGAGCTAAAATTCAAATTTTAAACCATACATATTCAATAATGTTCTATCAAATTTGCAGAGTTCAGAACAAAAACTTACTTTGGAGCATTCGGATTCTGCAACACCCAATTCGTCACCCTCTTCTCCAGGACAGATAACCCATCTGAAGGATCAATCAGTTGCGTAAGGTAGGGTGATCTCAAAGGCCCGACAGGTTTTATACTCCTAGCCAACCTCCTTGATGCATTGTATTGCTTCACCTCCTAGATAACAATAATATTTCTAACTAAGTGTTGAAACACGGGCATGTCACGTTTTCGTACTAAAGCCGTGTTTGTTTTTATGACAGGTTTTGATAATGCCAAACCGCCGTGATCAAGTCAAACTTTGAATATACAAGGCGAAGAAGGAAGACAAGAACAAGAGCTAAAAGAAGACCAAGAACGAAGACCTTAGTCTTAGTGTCGTTGAGTCGGTCTTCATTGTGATCAAGACCGACCCAACCTTTACACCTTGGCTCTTTAGGCTAAAAACCTTCATTGCACTTCTTAAATCATAAAAATGCTTTTCAAACATGTTTAAGTCATTAAAAACACTTGGTGTTCGCCCAAACCAAAAACCAAGCCATCCAGCGTTCGGGTTTCAGAAACTGGCGTTCGGCTCTCGGTTATCGGCAATGGTT